TAATACTGATAATGCTAACCCAAATTGAATTACTTACAATGGAAACTCAACAAATGTTGGTCCAAAATGTGACTTCCCTATATAAACTATAGTCAAGTTTACCCCCTCCCCATGGGGAAACGTGAGACCCAAGGGTCAAGAAATTCACAATTTTGGTGAAGCACCTAAAGACCCTTCCATATATGAAGAGTATTTGATTCTACCATATCTGGGTCTTGAGAAGAAGATTTTTGAAATTTAAGTCAATTTGACCCTTTTTGGCCCTGCCCCTTGCGCCTGGGAGCTTGGGACTAAACCGGCCACTGTTTTTGTTGACCTTTGTCCAAGGAAGGTCCCTGCAAAATTTCATTGAAATTGGTTCAGGGGTTTAAGAGAAGAAGATTTTTGAAATTTTAGTCAATTTGACCCTTTTTGACCCCGCCCCTCAGGCCCCTGGGGGCTTGGGACTAAACCGGCCACTATTTTTGTTGACCCTTTGTCCATGGAAGGTCCCTGCAAAATTTCATTGAAATTGGTTCAGGGGTTTTGGAGAAGAGGTCGAAAATGAAAATTGTTTACGGACGCACGACGGACGAGGACTTTGTCTCAGGTGACCTAAAAAGTTGAGTCCGGAAGGACGGACGACAGACACCACAGCATGGCATAAGCCCACTTGCCCTACGGGCAGGTAAGCTAATAAATGAAGTATGCAAATGTAAAATTTCAACCAGTTTAGGAGATATGGCATTGCAAAGTAAAACATGAACCCGCATTTTGATAAAGAAACGTGTGAATATCGTCTGATATGCGCCATTTGGTTGAAAATAGGCCATTTTGAAGGAAATCACTAATCACAATTCAATTTTTGAAAGCCTCTGCATGCAACAAACATAACCAGAACTGTAAGATAAAGGCTAAGGTAAAAGCATTGTAAAGCAATATAGTTTCCCACCAGTAATGATTTCTTTATTGACTGAGCTGTACACTTATTTAAGTATATAGGTCACTCAAAATGGGATGAAATCCCTTAATCCCTATGGTAGAAGAAGGATTATAAAGGTTTTCCCTCTATTTCCCCTATTGGGCCCAGCCCGCCCCTCTGCCGCGATGAGGGCCTCACCCACCATTTATACAAAATTGAGTCCCCTTCGCCCAAGGATGCTCCAGACTAATTAATAAGGATAAAATCCCTTAATCCCTACGGTAGGAGAAGGATTTTGAAGGTTTTACTTCTATTCCCCTATTTGGCCCCAAGGGGGGGCCACACCCACCATTTATAAAAAAAATGATTTCCCTTCCAAATATGATGCTACTGTTCAAATTTGGTCAAAANTTCTATATTCACCTTCTGAGACATGTACTGAGAACACACACAGTTCTTATGTACCACACGACCATCTACTGACTCACACTGGTGATGTTCAACTTCATCTCGTTGTAAGGATTTAAGTATAAATCTCTCCACTCTGTGAAATATACCAAGGTTTCCTGTTTCTGCCCCAACAAAGAGCGGGGTTAGTCCAACCTCATCAGTGTCGTCTATCAAGTGTGGATAAGTTTCACACAATATTACTACCTCCTTTTCATTCTCACACCAACACGCATGATATAGAGCATTGTGAGGAGATAATGGTAGATTGTCTCCCATCTTTTCCAAATCAACTATACACTCCTCTAGTTTAGCTCTTATATTCACACTTCCTCCCCTACTTCCACAATTCCAAGTGTTCCAGTCAGATTTTACACCTTTAGACAGGATATATGTAGCACATTCTTCTGATCCAGTATAACAAGACACATTTAACACAGCAAGTTTTATCTCATCATTCAAACCACTGGCAATATTTTTAAGAACATTCACACTTTTTTGCTTCACTGCACAAAACGGTGTGTTCTCTTCACAACCTACCTCCTCAGACAGAAGATATTTAGAACATACTCCTAGACCAGAGCAACATGCTATGTTCAACAAGTCAAGTTTTATCTCATCATTCAAGTATACAACAACTTTTTTAAGTACATCCACATACTCTCCATCAACATAACAACGTCTCTTGATCAATGACCACAATGGGGTGTTCATGTCCGGTTTCACACCCTCAGTAAGAAGATGTAATGCAAATTTTTCTGCACCAGAAGAACATGCTTTATTCAACACATCAAATTTATCAACATTTTCCTCACTCAGCCATCTGACAAATCCCTTCAGAAATTCATCAGCAGTCCATACATCTAGAGAGTCAATAAAAGCACCGTATTTGTCTTCACATTCCAACTCTCGGTGTAATCTTTCATACATATATGTGTTTTGCTCTGGTGATATGACAATTCTGTCTGACAACCTTTTTGAAGTTGTTATATATCTCAGAGAATTTCTTGGACAATACTTTATGTAGCCTATTGGACTTTTTGTACCATACAAAAGTGCTACTGTGGCATGTATAGAGTCATGATAAAATCGGTACACATCATCCCCTGACCAATGTTTTTCTTTCACTACCATGGAACCTAATAAAGCTTCTAAACTTTGCTGTACAAAACCTATTCTTTTCTCATACGACCACCTACTTTTGTCATCCTTAACATCCAATAAATCAACTTTAAAGGATTGCTCCAGTAATATTTCACTGACTTTTTCTCCATTAGGATCTAGATCCTTTACCTTAATTTCACCTTCACTGAGGAAGAGAAACAAAAGGGCAGTACATTCTGTCAATTTTGATAATGCTTCTTTCAAAAAAAGGAAAGGGAACTTAAAAAATTCTACTCTCTTCTCCTGCAAATCAGGGATATCTCTGAATAACCGACAACATTGTGGGAATCCTATTCCTGGGGCACATTTAACAATCTCTTCTTTCTCTTTTTCTGACCATGAAAACCCATCGGTTTTAGGTTTGTACAACTCTAAAAGTTCTTCTTTTTCCTCTTTAACTTTGTAATTGTTAGAGCTAAGATCAATGATGTTGGAATCAGTGAATATTTTTTCCAAAGAACTTTTTTTCAAAGAATTAAAAACCTCATTACGAATTGTAATAAGAAGGAAATTTGCCTCGGTATGTTTATCCCCACGAAGCGTTGGAAGAACGGATTTTATCCTATTGGACCATTCTTCAAAATCTTTTTCACACACAACTTTCTTTCCAAAAATATTGTCAATGAAAGTAATCAATTGGGATTTCATTGTCAGGAAATCTAAGTGTTCAATGTTGGCGAGTTCTACAGGCTGTCTGCCCTGTTGCTCCTTGCAGAGCAAATGAATCAGCTGAACTGCGGTAGCTGTTTTCCCATCTCCAGTGTTCCCCTTGATGATAACTACACGGTTCTTTTGGAGCTTTTCTTTAGCATCCTGAAAACTTTTTGTCATCATGAATTTATTATTCTTCACTTCCTCTTCAATCATGGCTTTGGTTCTTCCTATAATGAAACAGAAATTATAAAAGATTGCTTCAACTGACAATTCTTTCTCTTACCCTCATGTATCCATTCTTTTCTGGATGCAAGATATCCTTGCCTTACCATAGGGTTGAGATGGTTATATATTCCCCAGTCATAATCTTTTCTTGAATTATGTCACTTCACCTGGTATAATTCTCACACTTGTAAGCTTAAAAGAGATCTAAAATAAAGCTACAGGCAAAATATCAGTATTCATAACTTCAAGTCATTCAAAAGAACCATTTTTTTTTTTTTTAACATTTGACCACTGTGACCTTGAAATACAACAAAGTCATTACATTGAACAAACTGTATAGCCCTTCATCTCCGAATGCAACTTGCCAAGTATCACCACTCTAGACCTTTTGTTTATTAAAATTAGGTCATTTAAAGGTTAATACATAGTTGACCAATTGTGACCTTGAAAGTAGGTCAAGGTCATTACAAGAGGCCCAGAGGGCCTGTATCGCTCACCTGGATATCTAAGCAATCATGGCAAAATATTCTTCAAAGAAGATCCGAGGGGCAGGGCTAGACCCCGAGGCCAATCCTTGTCGCATATCTGTATTTGATTTTTCTTGCCCAGCAATTGTATGTAATGTGATTATGGGGTGGGGATCTCAACTGTTTCCAAGTTGTGACTCAGAAACTTAGGTCCCTAAGGTTGTGGCCAGACCCCCGGGTCAATTCTAATATCATGACTGAATTCGTCTCTTTATGCCCAGCATTTGTATATATAGTTTTGGGGTGGGGAGCTCAACTGTTCCAAAATTATAACCCGGGGTAACCTTTCTAAGGGTGGGACAGATGCCAAGGCCATCCTGGACGCATATGTGCATTTGTCTCTTTATACTCAGCAATTGTATATATGGTTATAGGGTGGGGATCTCAACTGTTTACAAGTTGTGACTCAGAAACTAGGTCACTAGGGGTGTGGACAGACCCAAGGGTCAATGCTTATATCATAATTGTGTTTT